CATTTCTCGACCCGCTCTTTCATTTGAGCCCAAAAAAACATTCATATCTTGTCTGACATCGCTGCCACAAACTCGGCTCTACAACTCGGGCTTTCAATTGAAGGCCCGAGTTTGTAGCAGAGATGTCAGACAAATAAAAATTTGGTATATCTATACATGAGGGGCTAATTGATCGGATCTCCCGGTGACCGTTTTACTAGTTTGAAGCTGAATTTCAAACATGTAATTACGAAAATTTTGCTACCTCCCTTAGATTCAAACTCAACTGGGAGATAAGTCTCTTCACACCGTTTTAGCACTTCGCTACTGATTTGATTAATTCACACTCTTTTAGTCCCACCGGAAATTCCACAGAAGTCTTCTCGTGGAATACGACCATGAGGGATTGATGAACTCAAATAAGGCTCACAAATAAAAAAAATCGGTTACTTTATTAGAAACTTATCAATAGTCAAACATGAAGATCCTAATTTGGAATTATACGGGGAGATGAGCTCCACGTGGTTGGAAACCGTTCTCGTCGGCGGTGTACTCGACGGTGTACACTTGGCCGTCATCACCGGCGAAGCTGTAGCTGCCCTGGACCGAGATGACGTCGGCGGGTTTGCCTTCCTCGTCAATACCCGGACTGAACCGGGCCTGCTCCTGCTTGGTGCTGCCGTCGGAGAGTTCGAAGCCGTATTGGTAGCCCAGGGGCAGACCGATGTTGTCATGGAGACTCTCCCGGATTGCGTAAACATTGCTCTGGGGGGCAGCTGAGGCGACGGCCACGAGGGCGACGAATGCGATGATCTGTGGAAATTAATGTTGAGTCAATCATTGTGAACTGGGGGATTAAAGGATTATTCCATAGGTTCACTGGACGATTGAATTCGATTTTTCTCTCTAAATTCCAATTCTATTTGAATTTCTTGAGGTTCGCCTTGGCTCATTCGGACACGCGCTCGGGAATTCAGTGACTGGAAGAGAAACAGCGGTTGCAAGACGGGGCAGGATGAGATAAGATAGGAAGTTTATTGTTTAGGAATTTAAACAAAATTTTTACAGAGCAGACAGACATGTTTAGAGCGAATAAGCAGAGAAATACTATCAGAGCAGTGAGCGAATTGTGAATTGTGAGTAGTAGTAGGAACATTACACGAATATTTGTGATCAAGAAATAAATGTTGCAAATACCAGGTATGATAAATGAAAAAGACAATGACTAGTGTCATAAGGGAAAGGGAGATTAGCTGAGCTCCGAGCAAAGAATTTAGGCCCAGCGTTTCTTCATCAAGTCACCAGTGTCTCAGTTGGCTCTTAAAGGACAGAGAATTTATGAATAAAATTCCTTATTAATAATTAATTCTCTATTATTTTTTCGAGTTAATGAACAATTCTTTCTCGAATGATTTTTGCACTTCACTAATTATGAATTCACAATTGCGGAAGTATTGTTGCAATTTTAGTCTATTGTTTGATAACTGCGGTAATTTTTTTTAGTTTAATTATTGAAATGCACACACCATCTTCATGTTGATTCCTTGGGAATTAGTCGACTGACTGTTGAATCGAGGAGAACTGATGGTGAATTAGGATTTCTACGGAGTTTATATACTTTCAAAAAATGATTATATCATTTCCCCACCCGATGTTTTTGGATGATTATCATTTTTCATCATTTCCTTACGTTCTACCAAATTTCTACGGGTGGGCATTCAATATTGCGTAATGTGATAGCATCTATTTTTCAGTCTGGAGACTGGCGAGTGCTCTCTCGTTCTTTCTTCTCGGCGTTCAAAAATTTTCGAGAGTGACGAAAATTTTGGGTTAAATAACACTGAAGAGCGAATAATTTTTCCACGCAAGCATTCATTTGCAGAGTGAACAAGTTTCATTCAATATATGGAGGAAAAATTTGGGTGAAAATTATTCTATTGTTTTGTAGAATTGTATCGGGAGTCATCTTCGGACTAGTTCCATCCCGAAATTAAGTAAATCGCAGTAATAATCAATGTTTGGTAAAAATTTAATGTGAATTTGGCAAGAATTAATATTAATAAAACATGATGTGTGAAGCACAAATTTTATTCTCCACTTGGAGAAATTTTGAAAAATTTTAGCTGAATTTTTCGGTTCACATTCTATGAATGTTTATCAAATGACAGGTCTAGAGAAATTTCAAGGAAATGTATTAAAAAAAATTCCCAGTTGAATAAAAAAATAATTGAAAACTCAATTTCAGCTCAATTATTTCAGAAGAAAAATAGAAATTTGGAAAATTAGATGAGTATATGCAATTAATTTATAGTTAATTGGATACATTCATTACTGTTCTTTTATTTATCATTGAAAAACCAAATTTTCGTTAATTGTAGATTATGCGTAATTTCGTATAGAATATTCCCATTCTAAAAACATTTAAGGTTGATCGAATAATAGCCCGAGGATAATATAGAAATTGAAAATTGAAGTAGGTTGGGAATTTCTCGTCCTGCGGCTAAAAAATTTGGATTCTAATTATCCCCTCTCCCCCCGCTGAAATCGAACTTAATGTCGCTCTCCTAACAATTACTACGAAAGTGGACATTAAATTTCAACCTCGTAAATATGGAAATGGAGATGTGATGTAATCGTAGAAATGGAGAAAAGATGACTCGATATACTTTTATAAAACGGTGGGATAATTACTGAAAAGTTTCATAAGTCCTCATGGTTTGGTGGAAACCATATCGTTCTCTAAGAAGGATGAAGATTAGAATCTCCCGAAAATAATAAGTAGTAACTGAGTGCTTTTAAATTCAAATTTTCCCAGTGATGATTACAATGAGGCCTTGAAATTGAGAAAACAGGTCAAATTCTGAGATTATTACATAGCCAGTAGGAGAGCTGCTGACGGTTTTGCTTACGGTATTTGGAACATGGATGAGAAAAATGTCAGAGACCTATCTTTATATTTTAAAAACCAAAAGATGTTGGAATTCATGCCTGAATACAAAAATTAATTTCTTAGTTTAGTTAAACATTTTCTCTTTTCCACCCAAACACTCAGGGTGACATTTATGGCTTTTCTTAGAAAATAGAGACGTGTAGAAAAACAGTCCTCATGGTGAGTCACAAAGGAGAGGCTGAAGAAAATTGAAACAAGGGCCTTTTGTCAAATGGGTCCAGAGAGTGAAAACTCTCATGACTTTTAGTTAGTCGTCCTAGAGACTTCGTTGGAGAAAGATATACCTTCTGCGTGCGATCATTAAAGAGTTTTACTTTGAAGAATAAAACTAATGTGTTTTTATTGAGTATTCCTACACATAATCCAATAAAAGACTTCTGGCAGTTTCGATTTCGTGAAAAGCATGAGGTCAATTTTCGATTAACTCCTCAAGTACTTCGTCCATGCCATATAGACCCTTTCCGTGATTAATAAAAATTCATTGTCTTTCGTACTACACTGAGAGAAAGACAAACACGTTGTCAAACAAGTCTTGTTTGGGCCAACAAAATTGCTAGTTGAAAATTGCCAAAATAGAATTTTTTTGGTTCGAATTTGCAAGCCTCAAACACGAATAATTGCTCTGCTTTCGACAGCAACGAAATATTTGGCTCAAGAGGCGGATAATTCACACCAGACGGTGCCTTTGCAGGATGAAAATATCTCATACAGAGGAAAATTTATCAACAAATATGTTATCCCTAACTTACAAAATTGCTATCATATCATTATTATTGTTTCATTTAAAGGTTCAGTCGTTGTCTGTGATTATTAGACAGCCGAAACGAAGAACTACTGTCCCTTGTTTCGCATAAAACAAAGATTTTTCGGGAGTAAAATACGTATGGGAGTATCGAACAACGAAGGAGTAGTGCTAGAAATGACATTTCTTGCGTGTACAGAGAATGCAATTTTTTTTCAACTACTAAATCTATTTTTTGTTAGAAATAATTAAACTTCAAGTTGAGAACAATATCTTTATATTCGACGAGAACTAATACAGTAAATATTTCAATCTATGCGCATCCGTGTCCTTGGCAGGAATGTCCCTCATCCCTCCGGCTATCACTTTGTAGCCTCTCCCCAGGTCAGTTCGTCGCCTCGGAGGGGCGGGGGTAGGTCCCACATAGCTCACTACATAGTGTCGCCTCGTGACGTCGGTGTCGTCGCTAGGCAACCAGTGGTTCCTTCCACCGATGTTGTTACGATTTTCCACATTTTGTGACAAAAATTTTTCATTCCGGCGCACTCTCTGCATGTCCGGCACAAAAAACCCCTTTTTTGATCATTTTCAAAAAACTATTTTCTCGGCACAAGTAAGACTTACTTAAGAACTTTGTCGTTTTTCTCTCAGTGTATTGTAGATATCGAAATTCCAAAAATTTCCCCATGAAATAGATAAAATTATCAACACAATGCGACTCGATTTTTTTTTCAATTCATTTTCCGGAATAAAATGCGGAATTTCATCGACAAATAATGAAAATAATGCTGACAATTTTGGTAAAATGGCTAATTTATTAAAATTTAAAAACAATCCGCTTTGATCACAAGCTAATTTAGGCGACAGGGGCAACGGGAAGATGAGCACCCTCTGGGTGGAATCCGCTCTGGTCAGCGGTGTAGGTGACGGTGTAGGTCTGTCCGTCGTCTCCGACGAAGCTGAATTGGCCCTTGACGACGATCGCCTGGACGGGCTTGCCCTCCTCGTCGGTGGCGCTCTCGAACTGGGCCTGCTCCTGTCTGCTGCTGCCGTCAGACAGCTCATACTCGTAGCCGTATCCCTCCGGGAGGCCGATGTTGTTGTGTTCGGTCTGCTTCACGACAACGACCTCCTGTTGCTGGCGTTGGGGGGCAGCGGCTGCGATGGCCACGAGGGCGGCGAGGACAATGATCTGCACAAATGAGCATTTCAATCAATTCCAAGTGAATTGTAATCAAACTTTCCACTGCAAAAATTAAATACCCATTAAATGTTCATTTTAAAAAGAGATTGATTCATTCATTGCATTAATTAACTGGATAATTAACGGATTGAACAACTCATTCATGCCCTCATCAATTCATCAATTGTACCGAGAATTGATTGAAAGATCAATTGATTAATTGGTGTTTAATTAACTTTTAGTCACAAATTAATTCACAGAATTTGACATTTTATTAATCCAGTGATCGATCGATGATTCTCAATAATTATTTTTAAAAAACTCTCACTTCCTCAGCCACACTGAGAAAAATGTTCAGTAAAAATTACGGAACTCACAATTCGCTCACCGATTACGAAATCGACTCAGAAAATTTAAGTGACGGTATCGTAATTTTTCACAGGAGATTCAGATAAAAATTGCGGAACGCTTTAGAAAAATTACGCGACAGTTCCCTAAAATTTCCTACAACGACATTTCGCTCCGGAATTACGGGAAAGATACGTAATTTTTATTGAATATTTCTCTCCGTGCATTATCGGCCATAACAGCAATTTTAAATGAAATTGAAAAAAGACAGAATCGAGAGAAAAAATATATTCTTCCACTATTTGCCAACGTATCGACCACACAGTGTTCTTCATCAGTGCGTTCATTTATTCTGTTCATCAACCCATTAGTTATTAAAGAAATCTCAAAATTGAAAAAAAAACAACGGTAAACAGACACCTGTTGGGGCCCTTCATAGCTGTCACCAACAAGTTACGAATGAAAAGACACTAATAATTACTGCTCTAGTGTATTAATTATTTGGGAGCACACACCATCTTCATGTTGATTTTTTAATTTTTTGTGAGACTGTTGAGTCGAGAGGAACTGGTGTCGACTGATCATCCTCGTCCAGCTTATATACTGCGAAAAATCGATTATTCCCCACTCGTGTTTTGTCATGTTTTCAGCCATGAGCCCCTGATAATCAGAAATTTCTACGGAAAAATTATCATCCATTTCGACATCCTGTCCCCTACCTCTTCGCGCCGCCTACGGAAATGAAAGGACCGCGCTCGGGCTCATCTTCTCAATGTTAAGATGTTCGTTAGGGCCATCACGGGGCCAGCACGTGATTTGAATTATTTTGGAGGTTCAAGTGTTTCTATTAAATGTCAAGTGAATCGAGTATTACTGCTCAAATATCACTGTAATGTGAATATTAATGGTATCCTAGTTATTTGGATGAAACGATTGATTATTTATTCATTTATTGATTTGACCTGACTTGACTTTGATTCTTCTGTGATTCAATCAGTACACTGAGAGAAAAACGGCAGTTCTCAAACAAGTCTTACTTGTGCCAAGAAAATAGTTTTTTGAAAATTATCTAAAAAGGAGTTTTTGTGCCAAACATGCAGAGGGTGCGGCGGAATGAAAAATTTTTGCCGCAAAAATAGATTTAGTAGTTCAAAAAAATTGCACTACTCCGTTATTCGATACTCCCATACGTATTTTGCTCCCGAAAAATCTTTGTTTTATGCGAAACAAGGGATAGTAGTTTTTCGTTTCGGCTGTCTAATAATCACAGACAACAAATGAACCCTTGAATGAAACAGTAATAATGATATGA